GTTCTTGGCTGAACTTGGGACACTAATGTGGGCAAGCTGGCTAAGGTTCAGTCCAGACAATACGGAGGCGATGGTAGATTAGGGAAAGCATCACGAGAACATGACAGAGACTGTATTGGCATCTTTCAGTGGTATCCATCTGCTATTTACTGCCCGACTTCACAACTTCAGCGTGGTGTTAGATCACCATTTGCTTTTAGTGGATTAAAATTACAGCACTCAGCAAGAGAGATGTTTAAATTCCACAAGGTTGTGACCTAGTCTCTTGGATATGGACCGTTTTCCATATTTTGCCACTTTAACATCTGCATTGTCCATGAGGCTGTCCCTAAAATCCCTTTGGAAACTAAAGCTGGTGCAGTAGGCTGCTGTCTACTTGTTAAGCAGAGTACCATACTAGAAGCACATGCCATTAGTGCTTCATGAACTAGCCCGCCTGCCTATTGGTTTCCAGCTGGAGTTTCATGTTGGTTTTAGTCATGATCAGAAATGGTTTAGGACTGTTACTGTTAAAATTAGATGCTCAAGCTGAAGCCATCTCTGCTAAAAAAGAGGGAGGGGGGCTTCTGGCAGACACTTTCCATTAGGGCTCCTCAGCTCTGGACCTCATTGCCATTTTGCTCCAAAACTGTCCATATATGTTAATCTCCAGGACACAATGCAAAGCCCATTTATCTGTTCAGGGTTGGGGGAGGGCTGTGGAGAGGGTGGGATAAGGATCTTTCTAGGGTGGGGTACACCTGCATTTTCACTTTGACATCCTAGGCAGCTGGTGCTTCTCCTGTGTGTGGGGTTTGCTATGTTGGTTGTACAGATTTGCAATTTAAAGTGTTTAAACCTCCAGAGCCTGAGATAACCATCTATTTTTGTATGTAAATCAAAACTTTTTTTTTTTTTTAAATGGATGTGCCAAAACAGTTGTAAGAATCATCACAGGGATGCTATTTATAGTTTAGGTTGCATTGTCCTGACCACAGTGCTACAGGAAAAACTGTTAGAATACAGACTCACTTAGCCAAGCCAGACAACCATGAGCTAGTACTGTCAGAGTTGTAGTGTAGATGGGTCACAGTATAAGACCAATAAAAGGGTATTTGTTCATTCATTGCCTGGGCCTCGCAGTTCCAAAAAAGGGAAGGCCAAGCAATGCTAATCATGGCCTCCAAAAGAACAAGCAATCTTTCCTCTTTGTGCAACAACTCTGTCCTGAGCAGAAGTTTAAAACAGAGTAGCGATACCTATTCCCCCCCTTCAATGAACTTGAAATCCATTAGTAAGACTCAGAAGTAGGGCTTGTAAATAAGTTTGATCTTGGCCCAATTATACATGGTTGTAAACATCACATATGGATTCATTTGCTTTTTAGGTTATCAAGCAGATGCAAGTCTATCTGTACAGACCATCCAGAAAGTAATGTCCTGTTTCTATGCAGGTTCCAGGCTTCTCAGTCTCCCAAAAGAAACATGGGAATTTATTTAATCTACATTAGAAGGATGAAGGGTTGAGGTAACTCTCTTGGGATTTGAACTTGTGGCTCCAGGAGTGATGCTAAAAAAACCCGATATTCTGAAATATAATGTTTGCATCACCAAGTCAACCCTCCTCTTGTTTTGTCAGTTATTTAAACAATGGATTCTTTCAAGTGTTTCCACCATTCAAAATGGCAGAAATATGACGACATATTCTCATCTCTCAAGATCGTCACCATTTTGATCTGTTACAAGAACAGTTTACTATATTTCATCTACACGGAATACAAATCTTAGTCCTGATTTAGAATCTCAAGTTGAATCCAAACCTGGTTCTGGATTTGAACACTACCTCTTCAGCCCATCTGTTATTTTAGCAGTAAGACAGCTTTGTATCACTTTAATTTTCACCCCAATATAACAAAAACAAAAAGCTATTAATTAAGTCATGACCTGAGAGCAGGATAACTGGGGGTGAGGATATACCTTTCAGATGGGAGTGTACTCTGAGTGGCACTTTTTCTACATAAGGCTGAGTGTGGAGTGGAAGCTCTTTCCTTTAATCTCTCTTTAAAACAAAAAAAGAAAGAAGACGTAGATGGCTCACCTGTGATGCACAAAGCGATGCATACACCCCCAACAGGTGAAATTCAGATAAGCCCCCTTTTGCTCAGTTCAGCAAGCTAAGTTTGATGTAGTTGAGTTTAATTACATTATCTGAGTAGCTTAATATAGAAGAACACTTGGCAATACCCTTCTAGCTCCCCAGGACATGGCTTATAAACCACTCAGGGTTTGCCCCGACTACTGTTTTGGGTTGTACTATAACTCGAGTTAACAAATATAATTGTAAATACTAACAGTGAACACTCAACTGAATGTGGCCTGGAATAAACATTTGTGATATCAGGTTACAACATGGAAATAAATTAACACATTTGTACTGTAGAAAAAAACAGACAGGAGAGAGGTTAGTAGTTTAAATAGCTGAGTAGGGTAACAGCCTTCCATGGAAAATAAACAGGGTGCCATGTGGTTTACTGTGTGGGGGTGTGGTAGAGTGAGCACTCTCCAGAAGAAATCAGATTTGACAGACACTGGAATTATTAATTGAGTTATGACTAAAAGGGAGTTACACTGAGTCTGACACTTCAGGCAAGACAGGGAAGACCTAATTAGCATTTAAAAGGAGGCTGGGCAGAAAGGAGTAATGGCACACAACACTCCAGGGGAAGAGAAGAGTTGAAGGCCTTCTATTAGGCAGTACCTGAAGGGATGTGCAAAGAGGGTTATATGTACCTACCCAACACTCTATCCAGGTTCAAAAGGTTCCCGTGAAGCGCTGTGTGTTGCAGGAAAGACAACCGAGAATTGTGCCTGCCTACTTTAGGAATGCTGTTTTTTGTTAAACATTGGGTGCAATGATACATTGTGCTACTAAGGAACCCATGTAAATAAGCTAACTCAAAAGGGTTGGACAAAACACGGATGAGGTACTAATGCAGAATGACCACAGTGATATCAAGGAGGCTCACACTGTTACTTCAGAGAGCGCCAGGCGTATAAAGAAGAAGGACAGAGTTAGAGAGGTAGGAGGAGTGTGTCAGCCTTAGAAAGGCTGTTACATAAATCTCTCTCTCACACACACACACACACACACACACACACACACCCTCCCCCACACACCGCAACGTTATTCTTAATTATAAGCACAAGATGTTATCCAGACCTTAGAGTGGATATATTGTATTTACTCCTATTTTTCCCCCTAATAAAACTGCTTTTTTTTATTAGAATTGTTATTGTACTGGGGTAACCACTGAGAGCCATTCCGGGAGACAATGATGGAGAGGCAGAAGTGGGGGTAAAAGGGCCCCAGCTTACAGCATTTTATCAAAGGCATGGGGCAGGAGATGCTCATTCTGAATAAAGCCTACCACACTGCCAGCTAGTGACATGGAGAAAGACAAATTGCCATGATTTGTGTGCACAATCCCTAGCACAATGGAGTCCAATTTTCAGGCAGGGTCCTCAGTGCTATACTAAGCCATGTGCATTTTTTATGATGTTGTGGTGTATACTTCATAATACTAATTTAAATATAGTTGATTCTGTGCAACTTCTATCATCGTGTTGTGTAATAGTAAAAAAAGATTTGTAATAAAAATATACAACATATTTTACAGTGAATATTTTCAGTTGTACGGTAGTTTGCAAAAAGCTTTCTGATTCTTTGGGAAGGAAAGCACTACACAAAAAGCTAATCATTGTAATTACTGTACTTGAGTGCAGAAATGAAACAGTTCTTTTCTGGAATGACTGCTGCAGTCTGCCAATTAGTTGCATGTACTAAGACTAATTCACATATATGAGGAAAAACTATGATTGAGTCCTGCCTTTGTACTTCACCTTGAGAATAAAATCTCTGGGAAATGCTTAGTTTAAAACTTTTCTGCACAAAGAGGAAGCTTTTTTTAAAGACATAGAATATAGTCATTTCCTAAGGCCTGATCCCACAAGCACTTACCAGGCATAGTTCTAACTGCTAGGAGCGCTCTCAGGCGAGCAAGCACTATGCATAGTGGCAAGAGTTTGCAGAACCAGGCTCCCGCAGGGGATATCCACTCAAGGGTGAATCCCTAGGTCCACTGAAGTCAAATGGAAATTTTGCCACGGACTTCAGTGGAGCCAGAATTTCACCCCAAGTATTCATGTGAATAAAGCATAAATGAGTGGAGGGGTGAGGCCCACCCCCGCAACAATGGGCCAGGGTACAAAGCTACTGTGCAGCCCCTATTCTAGCCTATGAGCTAGAACAACCGCCATTGCTTCTCCACCCAGATGCAGTGGGTACTGGGGCTCTTCCCCTGGTCCACCCGCAACCTGCCAGAACATGGCCTCCTACATCAGCCCAGGCAGGGCTGGTGCAGAGACCCTGCCTGTGGCATGAGGGGTACAGATGCATCCTCTGTGCAGCTCTTTCTCCCACACCCCCTATACAGGGCCCGAGGCCATCCCACTGCACCAGGGTAAATTTCACCATTTTTTATTAGGAAACATACAGACTAGCGTAAATAATTTATCTCACCATTGAAAGCGGATATCTACTATTGTGGAGCAATGTAGCTTTCTACATAATACATCTCCTTTTTTAAAAAACAGCTTCTAAAAGCCATGTCAGTAAGTTAGACAACAATGTGACAGGAAGAATGGTCCAATGGTTAATGCAGCTGCCTGGGACTTAGGAGACCTAAGTTCAATTATTTGTTCTTGTATAATCTTGGGCTAAGGAGCCTCTTTGTGCGACAGCTCCCCATCTGTAAAATGGGGATGATAGCACTGTCCCACTCACAGAGGTGTTGCAAGAATAAGTACATGAAAATTGTGAGGTGCTCCGATACCACAGGACTGAGAGCCAGCAAATACACACTTAATTCTAGACTGAACAGGTGAAAAGAAAGTCATCTCCCCCAACCCATGTTACTCATTAAACTGAGTAACAAGTAGTCAACAGCACTGAAATACACCTACCATTTCTTTGAATGCGCTTTCAATAGCTCCAGTAACAAGGCTCTCATGTTGGATCTTCTTCTCTGTAAAGAAGCGTGTTGGAGGGGTGTTGGGTGAGCCCGGAGCCCCAACCCCCCCACGCAGGGAGGCTGCCCTGGTTAGAGTTCTGCTGTTAGTGACCATGCTTTCTGGCTCCTCTCCTAGGCAGGTTGGGGGAAGGACAGCAGAGTTCTTCAGGATCTCCACAATCTCCTGCAGCTGCTCCACAATATGGTGATGAAGCAGTTTGGATGCTACAACAGCTGCCCCAGATCCAGCATGTCCGTCAAACAGTGACCAGTAGTACAAATTGATGCCATCATTTTCCTGTTTATGAAAAGAAGAAAATCACAATGTACACAATTATCAGTGTTGTCAGTGACCCTAGCACCATTGACAGGTCAGCTACAGTCGTTAAGGTGCAACTAACTGTTCCACGATACAAAGAGTAGGTTTCTTTCTGGAAAGGAGAAATATGTCATGTCACTTGGCTTTTTTTTCCCTCTTCTGAAAAGGCTGACAAATTTACAGTCTTCAACATACTGCACCAAATATGTCCAGGAGGCAAGACACCTCTGGGATAGGAGGCTAGTTAAATATGCCACTGTATCTTTGCCCTCTCTCCCCCTTGTGAATGACAAATGGGCCACTTGCAGTGAGGCTAGATACTTCTGCATTGTTTCATTCAAATGTAACTTTTCAGTTCTCATTGTGGAGATAAACATCAAAACTCACTTCTTTGCTGCTTCCATCAGTTTGCTGGTTTATAATTTTACAATATTTTTTCCCCTCTTTTGATAAGGTAAAGACACTGCTGGAAATGATATGGCACATACCTTCATATCATTACATCCTGCATGTTCTCTGCAAGGCACAGGGCAGTAATATATATTTCCCAGATCTTTCTCTTTTTTAAAAAATGAATGATAGAAAAATACAACAATAAGAAATTTGTGCTCCTAAGTCACTTTGGCACTTCTGAAAATCCTACCCTAAAATCACCACTCAGCACAGCACTTCAGCATGTGCTTAAAATTAAGTCTCATTGATGCCAACAGGACCTAAGCACCTGTGTATGTGGTTTGCTGACTCAGGGTTTAATTTAAATTGACAGACACCCACAGGCAATGTGATTATAGCCACAGACACTGCTGTGATAGAGATTTACTTCATTCTGTCACAAAGGGGAAAAAAAAATCCACCTCCACCCCACAACAAACAAGCACAAGGCCTACACACAACTTAAGTCCCATAGGATTTGTGCTGGCTTGCTACACCAGGATGAATTTTTACCCAAAATGAGCAATGAGTCAAGGAGCACCAAGATGCAAAGGCGGCCATATGAAAAACAAAAAAAACTTAGATAATTTCTCAGAGGCGTGTCACAAATCAGCATGTCAAGAAAGGGCAGTCAATCTGAGCTACTACATCCCAATCCTAGCACAAAATCCCCTTTGCAATATCACATGGTTATCCCATCAAAACACAGTAATAATAATATGAAAAAAATTGAAAGTGTTTCTTTTTTAAATTTGGGAAGGATACAGATCTCTGACTAGGCACCAGAGAAATAATAATAATAAAAAATAAAAAGAAGCAGCCATCTCACTGCGCTGAATCCCAAAATGCATTTCTAGTCTGCTGTGAAATGTAATCAGCTTCAGGCTCCTCTGCTACTGGACCTGGCTGAAAGCTAGAACAGCCGTCTCCTGGTTTTGTAATTATAAGATAAATTAATTTTGACCTTTTAAAAATATGCAGGCTTTAGAGATGTGGCCTTTGTTTTTAACAAAGCAACAGACAAAGAATCGTATGTGAGATTGCATGTATGTGCACAATAAGAGCTTGAATCACTGACAAAATCAGACCGTACACAGCAATACAATTTGGGGCAAACTTTCAGGCAGGCTGGAAACTAGCCTCCCATTGCAGATGAAATGCAGGTGCAAATCTCAATAGTTACATAGCCAACAACTTGATTAGCACCTGCAATCTGGTATTTAGAAATGTATTCTTTAGAAATGGCTCCGGCAATGAATCATAAGTGCAATAAAATGCACCCAATTTTTTTCCAAAAATGCACCCTCAAAATGCAAGCTGGACCACTGAAAATATATACCTGTGGGTCTAACAATAAACAGAAGTGGGTCAGTTGTCACCTTCACTAACCAAATGGTTGGTGAAACACTTCCTGATGTTACAAATGACATGTACAGTAGGCATTGTTGTGCAATGAACCTTAAGTCACACAAAAAATAAATATTCTTTGAAACTGGATGTGCATGAATGACACTATAGTATTAACTAATCAAAATTATCCTGCTTTGAGTTAATATTGTCTTATATTAGTGAATTATAAGTACTAATATTAAATCCTGCATTCTGACTGGTCAGCAACCATGGCAATATCCTCACACAATATAATAGGCTGGAATTTGTTTTATTTACTTAACTGTATCTAATATTGTCAGGGCACTCTCTCCTCCTCCCAGCTGCTGACGATCCAAACCACAGAATTTAATGATATTTTAATAGAGTTTCTAAGTATAATCTTTGCAATTAAAACAAATGTCCAATCTGGGATCAAACCTAAGTAAGTCAATGGGAAAAATCCTTTTTACTTTAGGATCAGGCTTTTGGATTCTTTTCTTCTTCTGCTTTTGTCGTTATTTTGTCAATTTTATTTTTAAAAAATGTTAATTTCCTTTTTCCAGGTTTTCTTGCTTTTTGTGGGCAAAAAAGTAGCCTTGCATCCCTTTCTTGATTCTCCTCCTCTGTATAGTCCCACCTTCCCCCTCCTCCTCCTCTTCGGAGGTTCTAACTTTACAGCTCAGTCCTTCAAGCTGATGCACACAGGCAGCTTCCTGTCCCCATGCAGAGCCCCACTGATTTCAATGGGGCTCTCCCATGTGGACAGGCTCTCCCACACGTGTGCAAACAGCTTGCAGGATCAGGGCCCTAGTGCAGTGCTTCTCTCCCACCTCCAGCTGCAAAGGAAAATCTGCTGGAAGCCACTTGGTGATACTGCACCAGATGGAAACTTCTCTTGAAAACTACATTTTAGTATTGCTTGGCAGGCATTTCACACATCTCCAAGCAGCACTTCGATCATCCTGGTTCGCGGGGGCTGGGGATTTCCAGTTACTTTGATCAAATGTTAAATGAAAAGGATTTTACAACTTCCAAATTTGGCTGCCATTTAAAAGTCATACAAGCGTCCCAGGGAATGTGAGAAAAACGGAAGATGGGAGAAGCAAGAAAAGGCATGTGAGCTTGCAGAGAATGTTCTGTCAAGTAGTAAAGAATCTGAAGAAAAGAAACAGTATTAATAAATCAAAAGATTTTAAAATTTAATTTGCATTTTCTTTTTAATTGTTTTGACTATTTTAAATACCTTTTCCTTAAACAATTATTTAATAAATCCTTTCCTTTTCCCCTCTTCATTCCTCTATTTACATGGAACCCTTTAATAATCCGAGTAAGATTTCAGAGTGTGTGTCATGCTGGGATATCCCTACTGAGTGGTTGCAGAACTCAATTTTGGCCTTTTTCCTAACAACCCATGAGGTGAAATAACACCCCAGCAAGACACATGCATGAAGCGTCTCATCTCTTTAATTCTACATACTAATGTGATGCAGAAGTGCCTGCATTTTATATAATCTTCCTTTTGTTAAAAAAACAAAATCCTATCATATTAAAAATACAGTATCCTTAGCACTGAGACAACACCAAAGGCAGATACAGATAAAAGATCTGCTGTGCTTTAAATAATACAAATAATTAATAATAATAATAATAATAATAAAGATGTGACACCTTGTCTTTTTTCATAGGTTCAGTCCAGAACACACACAACCAAAAAACCACCTCTGCTAGCTGCTGGAGCAAGACTGCCCTCTAGTAGCAAAATTTCTCTAGCCATATGCTCCCTCTTTTGGGAAAATATTATATTTGCAATTTTAAAACTGCAAGCACTAGTCAGATACATGACTTTGTAAGGTGCACTGCCCCATAGTGCTAATACATATTATAGCATCCTCTCGTGGTCTCTATTTAGCAAATATGGAGGTAGATCTGTAGACAGGATATATAAAGAAAATGTATCAAGGATGGGATAGCAAATAATACCGTAAATATTGTCATGCTATCACAGAGACCTATGGTGCCTCACCTGGAATACTGTGTTTGTGGTCAACCTCTTTCAAAAAGACAAATACAGCAGAAATTGAAGAGGCCCACACACAGGTAACAAAAATTAGAATTATGGTAAAACTTCTGTGTGTAGGAAGATTGTAAAGATTAGGACTGTTCACTTCAGAGAAGAAAGGGCATAAGAGTAGTAAATTAAATATCAAATAGTATGGAGAAAGTAAACCTCAGATTCTATAAACCGTTTTTCATAACATGGGAACATGTGGACATTTAACTAGGCTGGAAGTCAGCAAGTTTAAAACTGATAAAAAGAAATAGTTTAAAAATGTAATTAACTTGTGGAACTCTGTTATGGAGAAGATAATGAGAACATCTACTGATTAATAAGTTACATTTAGATAGAATTAAAAATCGTGTAAACGAGGGATAAAAAACCACTAACTGCCTTTGAGTTGGAAAAACATATTCCCTTTGGGTAAACTATTACGTAAATAGACAAACATAAGGTTTTTACCTTCCTATGAAGCATCTGATTGTGGCACCAGTTGGAGACAAGAAACTAGATTAGATGGAATATTAGTGTGATCTGGCATGATGCTTCCTATGCTCCATGAACATCAAAACAGTATATTAGGCAGGAAGACAAAAACAGATGCAACAGTTAACTGTACATGTATCAAATTAGTACTATACTGCAGGATACTAGCATGGTCTTCACTTGTTTTAAAATGAAATACCAAATGGTATTTGTGTACATGCAATGCATGTACAAGTCATGCATTGCATGTTTACATGGCTATTATGATCATTTGTGCATGCAAATACTGAATAGATTTGCTGAATCTCAGTGTTTGTTTGAAGCAAGATTAGTTCAATGCATAACTGAATGACTATTTTGCCTATGCAATTGAAAGTTTAACTTGTCAGGACCTTGACAAAATCTGTAGAGGAGCTTGAGTAACATTTTTAAAAGAGTCTTATTACTATTTGATGTCATCATTCTCTGCTGTCCTGATGTCTTGAACAATTTCAAACCCACTGTGATCAAATAAAAAGATTCCTCTGTCCCAGTTTTCTTGGTTTTGGTTTTGATGTTTAAGACCTTCCCACACCACCTTTTACCTGTTCATACCCTCAGGGCAGAGACGGTCTTCTACTTGTTTGTACATACGTTTCTGTAATTGAGAAGTTCCACATATATTTATGGTGCCTTTAAAATAATAATCCTAGTTTGTGAAAGACTGAGTGAGAAATGAAACTGAAAACATCATGGGGAAGATTGCTGATCTGACAGGCAAACAAGCACCTAAATGGCACCAACGCATGCATTCTGTTATCAACACATCACATTTCAGTGTCGTATAGTGTCTGCCTACACATACCACATACAGTATATTCTACAATGGCTAAGGCTACGATTATGCACCAGGGCTGGAGCTGTCAGCAGGCAGCCCCGCAGCTTTCAGCCGCTGCTGGTGGCAGCTCCCAGCAGCTCCTAGGCACTGGGCAGCAGAAGGATCCCGGAGCTCCCTGAGGGTCCCCCAGAATTCCCACTCGCCACTTGGCTCCCTGCAGCAGCCCAGCCGCGGCGGGGAATCCCGCAGTATTTCAGCCGCGGCGGTGCACCCCCCACAGCATTTTAGCCACGGTGGGCAGGGAGGAGACCCCAAAGCCCACAGCCGCTGTGGCTGCTGGACCTTCCTCCTCTCCATTTTGTCAAGGATACTTTTTAGTAAAAATCATGGCTAGGTCATGGGCGTCTGTGAATTTTTGTTTATTGCCTGTGACCTGTCCGTGATTTTTACTAAAAATATCCATGACAAAATCTGAGCCTTAACCATGGCCAATCTCCCACTGATTGCAAGAAACCCTCTATTTGACTATTTATGTCAAAATCTGCCCACAGGAGAAATTTCTTCCATACCCAAGGCTCTCAATGATTAGCTTATATCATGAAATACATATATCCTTTTAACTCCTATTTATATATAAATATTGAGACTATTTCTTTTATGAATCTTACTAAGCTCTCTCAATAATACCTTGTGGCAGTGAATGCCACTTGTTAAATATGTATTATAGTAAAAAAGTATTTCCTTTTATCTGTGTTAAATATGTTGCCTTTAAGTTTTGGTTACGTTCTCTTGGGCTTGTGTTATGAGAAAGGATCGACAGGTCCACCCAATGGGCCTTCTCTAGATCCTTCATTATTTTATATACCTCTAGCATGTCCCCTATCATTTTTTGTCTCCTCTTTAAATTAGAAAGCCCTCTAAGTGCGAAACATTTTGCAGTATGTGAAATTCAAAATCCAAAAGTGGAGCTAAGTAAAATGAGCGAAGCTTTCTTTGATAGAGCAGAGCCAATTAGGCCACAGAGGGATAACAAGAAAATCTGCAACACTTAGCAAGAATTCTTGGGATTTTCCATTGGTCTTACACCACTGTCTACTTATGTTAGTTTGTATTTCTATTCTGACAGCAAGATGAGTGGAGGTTACTTACTGAGTTTTCTTTCAGTTGTAGTCCTTCTCCATTTGGCAATGAGGATCTTCGTTTGGTGGATGTGTTTTTGTTTGGTGTGGAATTGGTGCCTCCAGTTTTCTTCTTTACAAAAAGCACTTCACAACTTGCTTGGTCTTCATTGTGTGTGCTCTTCCCTGCATTTATTACCCTAGAAAAAACAAAAGGCATGTTAGTTTTAGCAAACCTCAGAAGCTTCTATCACTGTTTGCTAAGTGACTTTCCAAAAATCAAAGGAATGTGGCCAGAAGGTTTCTAAATACTCATAAGCTTAAAGTTTGACCTTTGACATTTATGAGCACAAGATTTCTTTATGAGATTTTTCATAAACAAGCAAGCATTTGGAGCAGTACAAATTGAAAAATGTAAATGAGCATTTCCAGACAACTACATGAGCATTAATTAACTGAATATTTCTACGACTTATCCATACAAGGAAAACAATTTTAAACCAAAATTATACTGGACAGATGTCTGATGAATGGATGAGTCTGGTAATGTTTGTACTTCCCAGCTAAAATACAAAAAAGAAATTTATGATTGCTCTTTCAGTTTAATTCATATACCTACAATCACCCTCTAATAGCTATGGTTCATAATGGATAGGTCAGCTCCAGGAATCTACTCTGTCCAGTTCCTCTGAGTGGTACAAGCAGAACATATCTACAAAATAGAATGCTCTCCATACTGATGGCACAGAATGGAAGGAAGTGACAATTATAAAACACTTACTCTTAAATTTAAAAAATAAAGAAACAGTAGGAGAGATGGTATGTGGGATGCAAACTTCAAAAAGGGTACTCCTGTTTCCTGCTTTGACAGGCTGACAGAGGTTACTTGTACTATGATGAAGTGAAAGGGGTGCATTTTACAGCTCTCTCTTTCCAAATTCATTTCTCTAGGCACAAAGTTTGTAATGCCGTGCGCATTTGGGACATGGTGGTGTATTGTTGCATCAATGTGTCACTGCATGGTAGAACATTGTTTTTCAGAGGCAACATTATCATATTTGTGTCAATAGCCCAAGTAAATGCAGAATTCTCATAGTTCTGCGTGCCAAGCCTGTAAAACCTGGGGCAGACTCATGAAACCAGGGCAGTTCTGTGAATTTCAAGATAGACGATAATCTCAACACCCATTAGTCCGCAAACAGAAAGTACAGGTCATAATATTTGCTAACAGTAGCTCTATCAGACACTTTATGAAACAAAATGATAGATACTCTGAAGTACGAATTCCATAAAAAAGAGCTTTAAAACCATGAGCATAAGTACACTTCCCCGATATAACGCGACCCGATATAACACAAATTCTGATATAACGCAGTAAAGCAGTGCTCCGGGGGGAGGAGGGGAGGAGTGGGGACTGCGCACTCCGGCAGATTAAAGCAAGTTCAATAGAACGCGGTTTCACCTATAATGCGGTAAGATTTTTTGGCTCCCGAGGACAGCGTTATATCGAGGTGGAGGTGTATTTGATTCGAGTATTTCAGAGCTTGGACGTCAGTTAACTAAAACAAATGAACAAGCTCAAACCAACCTTAGATGCAGATTAATTATGCATTGTTTCAATGTGTGTGTTTGTACTATGTATGTTCAACAGTCCTGGAAGGTGAGTGTGTACTGACCTGGAAGTACAATAGCCTCAGATGTGTGAGGAACCTGTACAACATGGGATTATGTCCTGTTACAATATAAAGTTATTTCCCTGTTACAATATAAAGTTATTTCCCTTTTGATTAAATGATTGATTGTCTTCTTCCAAGAACACATTTTTTAACCCATCCCACCCTTTCTCCAAACTGTTAAGTGTCCTTGACAAATCATTGTGTGGAGGGAGTTTTGGGCCAGATGGGGCTTTTATTTATTTAAATACATTGCACACTCCTGATAACCATGTGAAAGTACATGAACAACCTGGAGGCATCTCACAACCCATTTAATAAAATCAAACACACCTGATTCCTCGGTCGCTGATATTTTTACCACAATTTGTATACCACATTTTACACTCTTTGAAAATCCTTAATCCAAATTGTGGTGGGTTTTTTTTAAATGGGGAGGGAGAAGGAGAACCACACACACACACAAACAAAAAGACAAACAGTCCACTCTGGGCATCATCTTACCTATTCTTACCAGATTAGAAAAATTCCAAATTTCATGTCACCCCATTTTAAGATACAAATATCTTTCTTTATTGTATATAAATGAATATTTTTTTCTTTTAGTAAAAGCAACTCAGTTGTACCCTGAAAAACGACACAGCCACTAACCATAACCATACTCGTGAATGAACAGATCATTGAACACCACCAAATGTTACTACGCTGCAATCTGACATACAAGAATTTGAACGCAGTTAACATCTGTATGCATATACCACCAGCTGTTTGCAAGGGTTTGTTGTACATAAATATCAACTGTGGATGAAACCATTTTGAGACACTTGCAAGTAAGGGATTAAAGGATGTGTAGTTTCAAGCTATCTTTCAGCAGTTTTGCAACTCTGATTAACTCTTATGCCCAATATTTGCCAAGATGGAGTTTAGATATTTGGGTATAATGGGTTTCTGGTCTGAATGCACATCATTTTCTGGATGCATTTGGAAGGCTGCGGTGTGATTTGAAACAGAAGACGTGAAAGTACAAAGACATCAAGGTAAATAAGCCAGTGGATATTAACTCCCTGACTGCCAATGTGACCAATTAGCTAAAAGCATCACTGAGCAACAGAAAGCCTAACTAAAGTACTGTATTATGGCTTCTAAATATCTTCCTGTAGCTTAGCCCATCACTTTCTCCTCAGCGTGGCTTGAAATGGTTTTCAAGCACCATTTAAATCATGAACTTAAAAAGCTAAAGGAAAAGAAACATTAAAGCAGCAAAGCTGAGCACATAGGGTGTTCTTTACTGTGAGTCAATACTATTAGCTGCACCTGTTCTGCATAGATCCCAGAACTGCCCTAACTCTGTACTTAATGCTAGACTAAGAACTACTATTGAGAGACATATTGTGCCCTTCAGGGCTTGTTAGGTCACACACACACACACACACACACACACACACACAATTTATAAAGCTGCTTTATCAAGCAAACCTCTCAAGGAACTGAATGGTTCCAAAAGGCTGAAAGAACAAAGTGACCCAATAGTAAGTAACCTGGTTTGGCAAGGCAATTACCATTAAATATCTGAAGCTTTGTACTTCACTAGTCAGATGTGCCCATGCGTGGAACTAGTTGGTAGAAAGGGACATGAACAAAGGAACTTGGGACACGTTCAAATTACGGCTTAGGAGGACCCTGAAAGCTATGGTCTGGCCATCTAACTCTTCTGTGAAGGATTTCAATGCCTCTTTAGCCTTTGTCTGATTAACTCCACTCTGTCTTCTCTGAAAAGGTTCTCTTATTCTGGAAATTCTGATGGAAACTTGAAATATCACAATGTAGCAGTTCTTTCCATTCAGTGCCTAGGCATCAAATGCTGCAGCTTCCAGGCACTGAATGTGGCTCTAACCTGATGCTGGACCATCCTCGTACCCTCACACAAAAAGGCCTTGAACTTCTGTCACTTTTGGGAAAGGGATTCAGTGAAGGTCCAGGCTTCCCCGTCCTCCCCCAAAGCTTGGGGTGCATTTGGAGCATATATTGTTGGTAATACCAACTTTTCATGCTCAGCACAGAAACCGATAACACCTTCTGGACAGCTTCAAGCAGCTCTGGGTGTTTTCTCCTGCTTTAAATCCTTTAAGCAAATTCTTGGCCAAAGAGATGAGCCTTGCACTGCAACATGATGACAAAAGAAAATTGCTCCTGAATTTGGAATTCATAAGTATCTGCTGGCTTAGAGTTGAGATGACAAAATATTTTAAAGCTAGAAATCAGTGTTTTAAAGTTTTGCCCAATAACTCAAATAACTAGTGTATGCAAAACATTGTCTTTAAAGTATTTAAACAAACTGTACGTCACCTTAAAGACATAGGCTCCTTTGAAAACCTGAACCTATGGGAATTCAATGAAATTCAATGGATTTGGGCACCTAACTCCCTTATGGATGTGATTTTAAAAGAGGCCTATTTATTAAAGATCCAGATCATAACTGGCCCAGAGCTGATGATGTACAAGCAGGTGTAGATGCTACTGACGTGCATGCTCCTCTCCCCTCCGACTCCCAAAGGCAGTCGTGAGTCTGCCTCTCTCCTCCACCATCAGACTATAGAGAATAGTGCTGGTATTTTTTCCCTCCACTTCCCACTCCCACAAAGCTGTGGCTTTAAAACTACAATATCACTCCAAAATGTGGTTGCTTAATTGTATTTTAGAATACGATCAAAGAGCTTTAAAAAACTCAAAATATTTGTAAAAGTAAACAAAGACTTTATATATATAAAAAGGAGAGGAAATCCAACAAGATACATCAGCAAAACATCCAAGTTTCTTGCTTATACACCTCTACCCTGATATAATGCGACCCGATATAACGTGAATTCGGATATAAGCGGAAAAGCAGCACTCCCGGGGGCGGGGGGGGGGGCAGGGCTGCATGCTCCGGTGGATCAAAGCAAGTTCGATATAATGCAGTTTCATCTATAACATGGTAAGACTTTTTGGCTTCCGAGGACAGTGTTATATCGAGGTAGAGGTGTACAACCATAGTGCATGAAACAGATAATATAAAGATGTATTGCTAAGTTTCAGAAAAGTTCCTTTGACCCTATTTAGAGCAGAATATGCTTTCTTTTTCCACACTGAAACAGTACAATCTTTCCTTCTGTTACCCGACACAAGTGTTCTATTTGTGTATCTGTGTTTCAAATTTCAGCGTACCTGCATTTTGCTCTATGAACTGGAGAAAGTACAACAAACTTTGTTTTTATAGTGAAAATTTGGCTTCTGATATTATTTCTGTCAGAACTGCTGGACTAAGTCCACATTGTGAACTAATGGGAGACCACTCCACCATATATATAAACCTGCCATGGACAAAACTGTGGGATGCAATTAGGATGACCAGATAGCAAGTGTGAAAAATCAGGACAGGGGGTGGGTGGTAATAGGTGTCTATATAAGAAAAAGACCCAAATATCGGGACTGTCCCTATACAATCAGGACATCTGGTCACCCTAGATGCAATGTACAACAAAGACCCA